CTCTGTAAACCGCTTAGAGAGGGCTGAAAGCCCTATGAAGCGGTATATAAGTCTAACTGCTATTGCTATTGTTAAGATAGTAAGATGGTTATTAAGTGAATCTTGCTTCCCCACTGACTTTGCTTGTCAGAAGGTCACAAAAGGAGATCGCATCACTCCCGAGACATTGCAACAACCGTCATAAATATGAACCAGTTGCCCACCATCCGAATTTTAATCATGTGACCTTGAGGATGCGGTAATGGTTATAAGTGTGAAAAACAGGCATAAATCACTTTTTTCAGTGCTGTTGTAACATTGAACAGTCACTGAATAGTTGTAAATCGAAGACTACTGGTATCATAAGCAAGGTTATTCCTAATCAGAGATGAAATTATTACTTATTAAGTATTACTTAAATAAAAATGTTTTTCTTCATTTCAAAATAACATATTTTGCTCTTCTATACATTTTAACTTTTTATTCATTCTGACATTCTGTTTCTTTTTTTCTTTTCTTTTCAATGCAGGTATTTCTTGGCAAGCTTCTACACCAAATACGACCCAACACATTTCATTCTGAACACCTCTTCTCTCTTGAGTGTGCTTATTCCTAAACTGCCACAGCTGCATGGAGTTAGGATCTTTGGAATCAACAAATATTAAGCAGGAGATGGAGAGTGTGAGCGTTCTGATCAAAATAAGGCCTGGTTTGATCCTAGTCCTTGACCGAAGGAACAGCCTGTACTATGTATTATTAGATAAGTTTCACATATCTTTGAAGACTCTAGTGCAAAGATGCTGTTCTTTACAGGAGAATCAGAGACCATTAGAAGATCTTCTGATCTTAAAGACGCATCTTTGGAGCACAGGTTTTTGTAAATAGCTGGGCAGGCCTAGCTCTCCTAAGGTAAACAGTGTGGACTGGAAATAGGCTGAAGTAACAAGAGAAGTGAAAAGGGATACGAAACATTGTATTGACTCATAGTTGTAATCTTTTACAAGTCAGCAACAATAAGGGAGGAATAGAGGGGAGGAAATAGCGCAATTCTTTGTTTTACAGACTTCAATCAGTTATCATTTGGGGTCATTTAGCTACTTTTAGGGCACGATTTTCTACCCAGCTTGAGGTGATATAAAGTTAATGAGTTATTGTGATTTCCATGCCTTATCTATCCATGAGAATTTTAATCAAGAGTGACTTTTCCAGTATGAGATCTTTGAACTCTGGGGAATGGCATGTCAACTTTTCAGGGGTTTTTATAAACAATTAAATTGATCGGTATCATGCAACTTGTTTTCCAGTAGGTGATTATTCTCATTCCACACTATCTGAAAAAAACCTGCCTCATAAATACAAAAGAAAATTCCTAATGTCAGAAACTAGCAGAAGCTACTAAATAAACTGGAATCTCTGACGTATTAGTTCACAATGAGAACTGTTAATGTGTTAGGAAAATTCTAGGAAAGGTAATTCTCAACACAAGTTTCACGTGACAAGAATTTCAAACATCAAGCAGAACATAACTTTTTCTCATTGTGGAGCAGATTTGAAGATGATTTGGAAGAAGTGCTTTGGGCCTCATAGAAATGCAGCACTTCACTCTCAGCAACCTGAATATTTGAAAGCAAGACTAAAGAAATTGCCTCTGTTTTAGGAAATCCGCTTATTAATTTTAATGTGACGTATAAAGTGATTCATGGGGGAAAAATATAGAAGGCTGGACAGCTTTCACAGATTATGGAGAAATACTGTGCTTGACTGAGGTCTGCTAAGGCTTTTTCTGGATTGTTTTCAAAGCATGCACAATCCAATCACTGCATCCAAAGGAACTTAGTAGGAATTCAATACAGAGTTGTGTTTTATATCTAGCATTGTAAATTTTGGAGCCTTTTTAAGATCCTAGTTTCGGAAATGTTCAATCTTGCCTAATGTTGACAGCAGAAAAATAATGGGTTATTGAACATGATTAAACTAACCAGTAGTAGTTCTGCTTAGCTGCTTCTCTACCCCAAAAGACTCTTGAAGTTAGTGCAGTGGTGATTATGCCCTCCAAGTAAGAACTGGCTTCTTTCAGGTAATTACAGTTTCTCCCTGATCTTGCTTCTTGAAAAAATATCTTTTTAAAATATTCATGTTTTATAATAATAATAAACGGAATGACTTTGAACTGATCATATGTATGAGTCACTGTAAGTATAGTTCCCTGTGTTAACAGCACTGTACAAATTGCTGTTAAACTCTGTAAATAGAATTAGTGATAATGTAGGAATTGTATTTTATTAATTGTATGCAGAACTGAGTAAGAAGCCTTTTCAATAGTTACATAAGACATTGATGTGGTAGGTCCGACCCCCTGTCTATGGTAGTGCCTGATTTCTATGCTTTACTCCAATTAAAATAACTTGTCCTGGAAAAAAAATTGAATTTATTTTAAAATTGAACGATGAATTGATCATTTTATTCAATGAGATATTAAAGCAGGTTATTCAGCATGTAAGAAATACATCTAATCATGCTTGCCTCTTACAGGAGCTATGTATCTGAAATACAGTTCCTTGCCTCCCATTTATTTTTGTTCCAAGCTCTGAATAATGAAATACTTGCTCAGTAAAAACTGAATTCTGCTAACTCAAATTTAGCACTTATTGGGGTGATTGGATTATTACATAGCTGTACATAATATAACTCCACTGAAGGGCTACTTATTTTTGGATGACTTGCAATACCAAAGCACTAAAATTATCATGGAATCCATAGCAGAGTGGAAAATACAGTTCTCCATATATTGTTGAAGATGTTCATTAGGACTACAGTGCCTAGTGCAGGGGTGTCAAATTGGCGGCCCGCGGGCTGGATGCGTCACATGGAGCCCACGCCCAAGGCCAGCTCCACGAAGGGAAAAACATCGCAAAATGTTATGTGATGGCAACATGATGCTACGGATTTGACACCCATGACTTAGTGCATCCCCTAGTACCGGGATGGCGAACCCATGGCACGTGTGCCACAGGTGGCATGCAGAGCCATTTGTGAGGGCACGCAAGTGACTTCCGGTTTGCTCGTCGGGTCCTTTTTAGTCAATCCGGAGGCTTCAGAGAAAGTCCTTGAAGCCTCCGGAAGGCCTTAAACCGCCCCTATGAGCAAACCAGAAGTGACTTCTGGTTTTCTCGTCAGGTCCTTTTTAGTTCTCCAGAGGCTTCAGGGAAGCTTCCTGAAGGTCCCTGAAGCTTCCGGGGGACGGGGGTGGCTGTTTCAGCCCTCCCCAGGCTCCTATAAAGCCTCTGGAGCCTAGGGAGGGCGAAAAAAGCATGGAAAAAATTGGGGGGAGCACCTCTTAGGCACGCATGTGTACTGGGGGTCATGCGTTGCGTTATGGGTGTGGCATGCCCGTGCACGACCCCCCTGCCTTCCCCCCCCCTTATGGCACGCAAGCCAAAAAAAAAAGGTTCACCATCACTGCCCTAGTATGTTACATAGGGCCTTGTGTTCTCTTTTACCCCATTGATACATCCTACTAATAGAACATTTTTATCACGCGTGCTACGAGAATTCTGTTCTTTAAGCCGGGGGTCCCCAACTCCTGTACGGGCTGTGGCTTGTTCAGAACCAGGCCACACAAGTGGCAGACACGCGCACAAAGCTCCCCTTGCATGAGTGGTAGCCACTTGCCCTTGCACACAAACCTTGTGTGAGTGGCAGCATTCTTGCGTTTGAGCGCAAAGTTCCCATCATTCATTTGTCCACCAATCACACAAATGGAGCTGCGCATGCTTGTGTGCATCCACGTGCCATTCACAAGGAACTCCCCTGCCGCCCCCGCCCCCCGAGCAGCCAAGTCAGAAAGGTTGGGGACCATTGCTTTAGACCAGGGGTAGTCATTATACCTACTACCCACTTTTGTATCTCTGTTAGTAAAATTTTCTAACCGCCCACCGGTTCCACAGTAATGGTGATTTNATAATAATAATATATAATATATAATAATAATATATAATAATAATAATGCCACCACCAATAAATAAGGAAGCACCATTGCTATCAGGTTTTTAAAAGCATGATTTACGCTTGGTTTTGCCCGATTGCCCCTGCTTGGCGTCTTCTGAAAAAGGTGTGTGTGTGTAATTATATATATGCCTTGTGGTGCTGGATTGTGCAGGAAGTGCAAAGAAGTGAACGTGGACCATCTGAGGACATCTGCTAATTTTAATTTCTGACTCGGTCGGATGTGGAAAGCCACAGAGGTCTTTTGTTCAGTTGTTAAACCTTTCCCGGTTTCTAACCAGCGGCGCAATGAAAGAGCTGCTTTCTGATTTAGCTATTCAATGGACTAAAGGTCAAATTCCATCTTAATTTTAACGCGGATTAAAAAAAAAAACTGTTGGGAGAGCTGTGTAGATTGCATCCAAATAATAAATATATATACATATATACTGCTTAGAAAATTAAGGTCAAGTGATACACCTAAATTAATTAAAGATGAAGGATATTTCCTGTTCACTTATTTTAGCTTATCCTTGATTGTATAACGTACATCTCTATTTAAATCCTGAACATACGTACATGTTTTAGGTCTCTAATTGTGCACAGAATGTGCTGATCTTACAGTGACTGAATTACCGAACATGACTAATTTTCAAATAATTGTAGGGTGAATTTTAGTGTAAATCTTGTGTATGTGGTTATGTGATTTGTGTGTTATTCTTGTTTGCCTTGTGCATTATATTCTTTTAAAATATGATTTTTCTTTGTATTGGATGCTCATGTTAAAACATTCTAAATTGGTCCAGTAGGATGGATATGTGGGTGTGTGACTACACAGAGATAGGACTAATTGAATAGCTTATGTTGCCTTCAGAAGTCAAAGAGTATTCCTTAACAAGTTATCTGCTTGTAACCAGAATGATAAAAGAAATACTATTTTCAAATAAAACAGGCAATGGCATCTTAAGTGCCAATATATTCAACCTAAGTGTATGTAAGAGAGATGGTAGACAGGAGACAGGTAAGAAAATGCAATAGATGTCAAGGTATGAAAATATCTGGGTTGATTTGCAATCAGTTGGTCAAAGCTGATGTAACTTTTCATATACAATTTTGGGGAACAGCTCTTTCCCTCCCCTTCTGCAATAGATAACAGATCTAGCAATTGTTATTGACATGTAAGATGATACTTTCTACCCATAAAATTTTCTGTAAATAACTTTCCATTGAGCTGATTTAAAATAAGCAGTCTCTCTATTTTCAGATTGATGTTTAGGATGTGTTAATTGCTTTTTAGTGGTCTGTGAACCCAGTTATAAGTATTCCTGAATAAGAATTGGTTGTGTTTCTTTAAAAAAAAAAACTTGAACAAATTCCTCTAGTATAGAAAAATAAATAAATAAATGGAAAATTCTTTATTCTGTGGAAGGATATAAAAAACGAGATTGTATTGATTGCAATTATATAAACGTAACTTGTATTAATTTTTTGACTGATATTTTTTTATTGCTGTTTAGATTATGGGTGTCCAAACTTTTGGCTTGCCTAGGCCTCATTGAGTGAAGGGTAATTGTCATGGGCTGCATATAAAATACATAATATAAATGACATAATAATGTTAAAAGTATATGATCGCATGGGGCTTCGTTACTAGCTGTATATGATCGCATGGGGCTTTGTTATTAGCCTTCAGGGTGATAAGCAGTTGGACGCTGCTTTAGATCTTTTTTTTTAAAAAAAAGCTAATTGTTTCAAATTGTCTTACAGTGACTAATGTTGCTGGAACACAACATTTCAAATACTTTGTACTGTTAATAGGTAGGATGCTGAGTTATTCTTATGCAGTAGTTGATGACCTCTCCCAGTCTGACAGTGGTGTGACTAACCCCGGGAAAGCATACCTTACGATGCACATTTTTCTTTCCCAATATTACTTTTCAGAATTAAAGCAAAAAAGATGAATGTCGGGGTTGCTCACAGCGAAGTCAATCCCAACACGAGGGTCATGAGCAGTCGAGGAATGTGGCTCACGTATGCTCTTGGAGTTGGTTTGCTTCATATTGTCTTGCTCAGCATTCCTTTCTTCAGTGTTCCAGTGGCTTGGACCTTAACCAATATTATTCATAATTTGGTGAGCATCCTAAACTGCCGAATGCATATATCTGTCCATCTTAAGCAACTCTGGGTGGTTCCCAATTATAATAATCATTATGCTATGATAATTCTACAATTGAATGGTTGGTTGTATTGGATTTGGCATTTCCCCAAGGACTGGGAAGGACCTGGGGTAGGCAGATGTGGTTTGATGGTACTAAAGATAATTGTTGTAGGAAGTAAGCTGTTCCAGTTAAAGCTGCCATTTGCAATTGACTGATGTTGATTTTGTCAATGCTGATGGTAGTCAAATGGAATGTTTTGGAATTGCAGCCCAGACACCTATTAATATTGGTCTTATCTTTGCTTTCTTTTGTTATAATTATCATTTTAAAGGTATACAGTCATAATTATTAGAATGGATTGCATTCAAAAGAAACAATAGAACAAAACTAAGAAAACAAACTAGAGCACATTCCATCCAGCAGCCAGTACACAGCTAGAGATCAACACCAGAAAAGTCAGTAGGGGAAATAATAATTAAGGGACTGCTATGGAGGAAACCACACCACTAAAAACTGGCAGGACAAGCTATTCTATATAAACAGGCAGCACTTGATGATATTTATTTATTTTATTCATTCAATTTCTATAGGAGCCCAACTCAACCAAGTGATTCTTACATAGTTTGGGTAGTGAAACATCTGCAAGCAAACAAGTCAGCTCACAGAGCACCAAGAACTCCACAGTTCAATCCTGAGCTGTACAGATAGTCCTCAAATTATGTCCACAATTGAGCCCAGAATTTCCATTCTTAAACGAGACAGTTCAGTGAGGTTTGCCCCATTTTATGACCTTTTTGACACAGTTGTTAAGTGAATCTGGCTTCTCCATTGATTGTGCTTGTCAGAAGGTCACAAAAGATGATCGCACGATCCCAGGACACTACAACCGTCATAAATACGAACCAGTTGCCAACAGATGAATATCCCTTCACATGGACTTTAATTCTGACATTAGTATTATGACTACATAACATTAGTATTATGACTACTGGGAACTGTAGATAGATGTAGTAGATAAACAACATCCTAATTTTGATCAGGTAACTGAGAGGGTCTGCAATGGTTGTAAGTGTGAAAAACAGTCATAAGTCACTTTTTTCAGTGCTGTTCTAGCTTTGAATGATCACTAAATTAAAGGTTGTAAGTAGAGGACAACCCGTACCTAATATTACACTATCTTCTAATTACAAGAGACCCACTTTGGTGTAGTGGCTAAGGTACTGGGCTAGAAACCAGATATGAATTTCAGTCCACCTGAAATAAGGTGACTTGGGCCAGGGACACTTTCTCAGCTCAAAGCTACCTTACACAGCTGTTATAAGGAAAACAGGAGAAGGGAGTGTACTTTGTGTTAGGCAAAATTAAAGGTGGGATGTAAATTTAAGAAACAAAATTATAGGAATAGAAAGTTAAATCAGATTTCCACTCTCAGTTATCAGTAGAAAATTTCCTGGTGATTAAAGCATGAGTTTTGACCAAATCACCTGTTTTGGATTAAAATAGGATTAGGATGTTGTTTATCTACAGTTCCCAGTAGTCATAATACTACTATTATGTAGTCATAATACTAATATCAGAATTAAAGTCCATGTGAAAGGATATTCATCTGTTGCAATCCTGTTGCATCTAGAAAGCCTTAAGCTTTCCATCCTGAATTAGTGTATGAAACTTGGCACAAGCATGCACCATATACTTAAGCATATATTTAATCATATTTCTCTGGCATTGGACCAATGGTACACAAATGATGCTTCGTTGAATGATTGGCAATTGTTTTAAAGTGAGGGGAGAAGCATATCTCTTAAAGTTTAAACTACCTGTAATGCCCCATTGTCTCTACATTTGATTGTGAAATCAGTCACTATACTTCAACTTTTTTTTGTCACAGATTGAGTTTGCAAACTGTTTTCTCTCTATATTTTAAGAAAACAGATAATATACAAGTTCACATAAGCTTTGTTAGTCTTATGAAATCAAAAACAAGAATCATTGGCTTCATAGGATTTGTGTAGAGTTATTGTCTTATCTTCTGACTTTACTGAAACAAGTTACTAGGGTAGAGTAGAAATAACTGAAATCTGGGTCAGAATAAAATGCCTAATTGGATTAATCTTTCTGTGGGCAACTTCATCTTAGTATTCTTGTTCAAATATTTATTAATCTAATGACAAATCACAGAACATATTTTAAAAGTCTGATGCTTAATGTTTCAGATCCTTCACTCTGATTTCATGTGTAGTTAATAATGAAGCATAGCTAACTTTGGCTTTTGTTTTGGATGGGTTTGTTTTGCCTTTGCAGGGAATGTATGTATTTTTGCATGCAGTAAAAGGAACACCTTTTGAAACGCCTGACCAAGGTAAAGCAAGATTGCTGACACACTGGGAGCAGCTGGATTATGGCGTACAGTTTACATCTTCACGAAAATTCTTCACAATCTCTCCGATAATTTTGTAAGTTTTGAAAATTCTACACTGACTGTTCTAGCACTCTGCAGATTTAAAACAAATCTTTTATTTGGTGTGGCATTAATATTGCAGTGAGCGAATCAGTATCTAAACCCTGCAAATTATTTAGAATCAATACGTTCTATTATTCATGTATCTCTGAATTGGTATGCTTTTAAAAGGAAGAAAAATATGTTTCTGTAAACAGTACTTTGGAATTTTTATAATGGAAGTGTCAGCTTCATGCGCAGTAATTTGCAGAGATGTACAGAGAAGTACTTTATATTGCAGAATTGAAATAAGTAGGTTTTTTTTTAACTGGCATTCATTCAAAACAAATGTGACATTTCAAAAATAGTTTGCAGTTGTCTGTTGAATCCAATTGCCACCGCCTAACCTTTCATTATTTTACAAATAAGATTTCTCCAATTAACTAAAACGTAATATAAATAGATAATGTTACATGTCTCAAATCAGTGCTTTAAAAAATAATAATTTTGCAACATTCCAGATATTGTATAGGTATCTTTCAGCTAAGGTTCCTTAGTTATTATGCCATTTTCAAATAAATTGTCCCAGTATGACTTTCTGGAAAATCATATTAAAGAACAGCTTAATAGTGTTTGGTTGTTGGATACTGTTTTCAGTCATCCCATCTCTTAGGCTGCACATAGATTCTTGTCTGTAAATATGTTATATTTGTTATATTATTTTTAAATACCAAAGTAAGACAGTACACTCCCGCACTATCAAAGATTTAATGCTAAGATATTAACCTGCCATCTTTGCTGGCTGCAATCGAGTCAGTGTCCTAGAAACAAATCATGTCCAGATCTTTTTCTTTTACATTTTTCTCTATATCCTAAAGCAGTGTTTCTCAACCTTGGCAACTTGAAGATGTCTGGACTTCAACTCCCAGAATTCCCCAGCCAGCGAATTCTGGGAGTTGAAGTCCAGACATCTTCAAGTTGCCAAGGTTGAGAAACACTGTCCTAAAGTCTGTTACTATCAAACCTATACGGCTGTAAATATGAGAATGCTTGCATGGTGAAATAGCTTGGTTGTTGGCTATAGTTATTCTCATGAAATAAATTTTCTGTTGGGATAAGCATAAGATTATTAGTAAAATATTCTTAAAGTTGAAATCTGTACTCCAAAACTGCACCAGGTTATTTATTTTGTTTTATTTTCATACTACTCAGTCCACAGTGGCTCTCTTGCAGTTCATAAAATATCTAGGAGTCCATTACCAACCTGTTTTCTCCAAGTACATTTCAATGCTGCAATTAAAACAGAAACTCTGGACTCTTTTGCTTCTTTCATAGAACATATATAGACTATACAGCCCTAGCATCTCATGAACATAGCTTTCTGCTGGGTGGGGGAAGCGAGCCAAAGATATCCAAAGCTTAGATAAGGGACAGAAGTGAAAAATCAAGGGATAATTGGCAGCTACTAGAGAGAGAATAAAGGAAAGGTACTAAGAAAATGGAACAGGTGGGGTGAAAGGATTTGTCATATTAAGAGCTGCAGAAGAAAGAGTTGTGACACACCTCAGTGCCTCAGCACTTCAACATTTGTTCTGCCTGGTGCAATCCAAAACATTCCATATTTTGATTGATTTTACCAAACTTTGGCAGAGCCACTGGAGTTTGTTGGTTTGATTGGGGTTGAAAACAACACCTTTCTCATTTTTTGTGCACGCCTCAAAATACCTTACCACCAAAATGGGCAAATTGACTCATCCTTGTTCTAATACAAGCAACTAAGTGCAGGTAGTCCTCAACTTACAACCACAGTTGAGCCCAAAATTTGTGTTGCTAAGTGAGACAGTTGTTAAATAGGTTTTGCTGAATTCTATGACCTTTCCTGCCACAGTTGTTAAATGAATCACTGTGCAGTACTGCAGGCCACTTCAGCTGACTGTTATCTGCAGTTCAGCGGTTCTAATCTCACCGGCTCAANATGTAAAAAAGGAAGATTTTATGTGTTGTGTTTGTTTTGAAAAAAATAAAAAATAAAATAATAATAATAAAAAAGACACAACACTTAGTGATAGTCATAGGTTACTGATAAGTAACCAAATTATACCAGGAAACAAATGAAACAATATAAATTTTAAAGATAACAAGCAACATGGTTATAGTCATAAGTGGAAAGAGATAGGTAATAGGAAAGAGAAAGGTAATAGGAAGGATGAGAAGAATAATAGTAATACAGTCTTAGTAAATAGTTTGACAGTGTTGTGGGAATTAGTTGTTTAACAGTGATGGCATTCGGGGGGGGGGGATTGTTCTTGTGTCTAGTTGTTATAGTGTGCAGTGCCCTATAGTGTCCTTTTGAGGGTAGAAGTTGAAACAATTTATGTCCAGGATGTGAGGGGTCTGTAGATATTTTCACAGCCCTCTTTTTGACTCTTGCAGTATACAAATCCTTGATGGAAGGCAGGTTGTTAGCAATTGTTTTTTCTGCAGTTCTAATTATCCTCTGAAGTCTGTGTCTGTCTTGTTTCGTTGCAGAGCCAAACTAGACAGTTATAGAGGTCCCTTAATTCTGACATTACTTTATAAGTAACTAAGGCAGCAAGTATACATAATACTCCTTCTGCCTCCTATTTCTCCCAGAAGAACCTTGTGAGATGAGTTGGGCTGAGAGAGAGCATGAGTGGCCCAAAACTACCCATCCAAATTTCATGTGTAAGGCAGAATTAGAACTCATAAGACTCCTGTTTTCTAGCCTGGTGCCTTAACCACTAGCTCTCCAGTTAAATTTACATTAATTTGAATCATTGAAATCAGAAAAAAGGAGTTCTTTATAATGTTTTGGGGGGCATTAGAAACTGTGAAGCATTGCTTAGTATATTTATTATATATTATCAGTCTATTCTTTTTTTCTGCACTTATGATTATTTTTTCAGGCTTCCAAGGGCAAATAGATAAATGTTTTAAGAGCCTGCTTGCTCACCATTACAGGGGGAAAGTAGCATTATGTTTTGTTTTGTTTTGTTTGGGATATAAATAAAATTTAAAAACACATGAAGCTGGTTTGTTTTTCTCCCTTCTTCCACATCTTACTTTTTGTTCCATGTACCATATTTAGAGTAAACAGTATGACTCACAGAAAGTAGCTCTTTGAAGTTCATTTGTCACTTGAAAAAAATACAAACAAAAAGGACAATTAACAATATATATATTAAAAATTGCATTAGTTGAATACATTATCCGAATCCCTTTTTTCCTCTTGGTGTGGTAGCCTTTTATTTACACGTATCTCAGTTTTAAGCTATAAATTAAACCTTGATTTTCTAGCACACGTACTTCTGGTTCCCATTCTGTTTCCGTGCAGAATACATCATCTTGAAAAATATCAAAACTGATTTTCATACAAATTGTCATTGGTTGTCCAATTCGTGACCCGACAAATGCGCGCCCGACAAAACCGTGGCGAGAAAACCGCGATGTTGAAATTGCGCCCACAACAGCGGTCTGACAAAACCGCAGCCACAAAAGCACGATTACGGTTAAGGTAAGGTTAGGGTTAGGGTTAGGGTTATGGATAGGGTTATTACATTGTTTTTGTGTTGTTTGCTGATGGCACACTTTTGTGGGTGCGCTGTTGTTGGCGCGCTGTTGTGGGCGCGATTTTGACATCGTGGTTTTGTCGGCGCGGTTTTGTCGGCGCGCATTTGTCCAATTCATTTGGAGACTATCAGGTTAAGAAGGCTCTGTTGGAAAATGCTGTTGTCATATAGATAATAGTGTACACCAGGAGTGGCAAACTCACAGCCCATGGGCTGGATACATAGCAATAGCAATAGCAGTAGACTTATATACCGCTTCATAGGCCTTTCAGGCCTCTCTAAGCGGTTTACAGAGAGTCAGCATATT